AAGATACTCAAATGGCCAACAAACACATAAACAGGCGCTCAACATCATCAGGCATTAGAGAAGTGGGAATGAAAACGATGAGATACTGCTTTACAGCATTAGTGTGTCCATTATAAAAAATGCAGTCGACAAGGATGTGAGAACACTAGAATCCTCATACATCGTGTGGATGTAAATGGTCCTGGTGCTGTGGAAAACAATTGTTCAGTTCCTTTAGAAGTTAAACATAGAGTTACTATGTGGCCCACATCTCTCTTCCTAGGTAGATAGCCAAAAGAACGTAAAACAGGTGTATACAAAAACTGGTACAGGAATGTCCAGAGCAGCACTGTGTTTGGGGTTTTCTTTTCAAGTTCTGGAGGTAACTACTAGTGGTGGTTGCACTTCATAATGGAAATATTAAATATCACGGAAGTATACTTCAAGTAGTTAAAATGGCTAATTTTACGTATATTTTACCATTATAAAAAAGGGAAAAAAATGACACTTATTCCTACTTTACTTACTAGCAGTTTTGCTAGATACTTTCTTAAACCATTTTATTTTTGGTCATTTTGGAAATCATTTACAGTCCATATATAGTTCAGTGAACTATGTCATTTATTTTATTGCCTTCTAAGTGCAGAAAAGATAGAAAATGAAAGGTATGAGAGGGTTTTTTGGAGTGGGGGCGGTATGGGGTTTGATCTCAGGACCTCATGCTTTCACTTAGTAGGCAGATGCTTTATCACTTGAGCCACACCCTCAGCCCAGTATGAGAGTTTTAATGCCTGTTCTGAGCGCAAAGGTTTTCAGAGTGCAGAATGTGCCTCTGGGGCTCTTTGAGACACTTAAAGGGTCTGCAAGTTCAGATTGTTTTCATAATAAAGATATTATTTGCTGTTTTACTGTCACTGTCCATAAGTATACAGAGTATTCCAGAGGCTGTGTGACATTTGATGACATCATCTGTTTGATTGCTTTATGTTCTGTTAAATGTCTGATTTTTTTAGTTTTGTTTTTTCAGAATTTCCTAAGGAAGGCTCTTAGTAAGTTCTAATAATTTTTTAAACATATGAAAGAGTCTTGAGGCCCAAAAATTTGAGAAAATGTTATGAGCAATTTATATGCAGTCTGAGTGTGGTGGCACATGTCTATAATCCTGGCTGCTCAGGAGGTAGGGATATGGAGGATCATGGGTTGAGACCAGGAGGATCATGGGTTAAAGCCAGCCCAAGGCAGATAGTTCATGAGACCCATGGTTTGAAGTCAGCGTGGGCAAAGAGTTATTAGCAAGATTCCATATCAATAAATAAGGCAGGAATGGTGGCTCACCCTATGATTCCAGCCATGTGGGAGCATAGGTAGGTAGATCATGGACCAGAGGAGGAGTACTTACATCTTGGGCCAGATAAAAGAGAGAGGGAAAGAGGGAGATGGAGATGGAGAGGAGAGGAGAGGAAGATTGAGACATCCAGTCGTACACACTGTGCACACTGGGGTCTCACAGTGCCCATCAAGGGCATGCCCCTAAAGGCCTGCCTCTTAAAGGTTCATAGTACTCCCCATAGCCCACCCCCCAGGCGTTAACAAATGGACCTTTGAGGGACACTGTGCATATTCAAACTGTCACAGTGGCGATAGGCTCTTTGGGATTTGAGTAATTAAAATGAAGATCATCAGCTGTTGTAAGAGGGTCAAGATGCTATGGTTAAGGCTCCTGAAGCTTATAGGAGGTATGATGTTGGTTCTGCTTTGAAGAATAAGCCAGGGCCTCTAGCAGTTGGCTATAAGAGAGAAGTATAGCTAGAACGCTGCACTGAGCCTGAGGAATGTCCAGACATCCCCACCGCATCATACCATGATGTTGCATACCTTACCTGTATTTGACAAGCAAAAAGGAAACAAATGTGGGAGGTCAGAAGGCAAGGACAGACTGTGGAGTTGTAAGGGGTGGGTCTTGAAAAAGTGACTGAACCTCTCAAACCTTCAGCTTTCTTATCTGTAACATGCATTAGAAACACTGTATCTCAGAGCCTGCTCTGGGCACCATCCCTGTTTGTACCCTGCTCATCCCTAAGTGGACTGCAGGCTTCTGGAGGGCAGCAAGAGCATCTCAGTTGCTTTTCTTGTCACTAGCACTAGCTTAGCACCAACCTCCTTAGTCCACTGAACAAACATGGCAGAAAATTTGTTATTGGCATTATTGGTGTTAGACTGTAAATCAGTTTTGCTTCATGTTTATCATGGTTATACCTCCATCCCGTGATATTAACCTCTATCCTGTGTAAACAAGTATATTAATTGCCACATCAAACCTCAGTAGATCTTGCCCCAGGTGGATTCATTTTATAGTTCAGGATAAAGCTATTTCTGAAGTTTTTCACACACGTCATTGTTATATTTCTGTGTAGATAAGGCTGGAATGTTGTCATTACTCAGGAATCTGGCTGAATGTTTGATTGTGTAGCCTGCCTTTGACCATGTAATTAGATGACTTTGCAGTAAATATCTTCCTTGAGGAAGCCAGGTGTGTTTGAACATCTCTGAGACTGTTGAAAGCTTGAAGCAATGCTCCAGGACTCACTGGTACTTTTAAGGCATCTCTACAGGTATGGTTTCCTTTCACTGTGGATTTTTTAATCCAAACTTTTTCAGCTGTTAGAGATTTAGCAGCTCAGTCCCCTTGAAAGACTGACTTAGTATGTTGCAGTTGGAATTTTGGGACATTTGATTTAAAATGTGATTTGACCAGTTTTAGGAGAATTTTTGGGTTTGGAAGGCGTGAAGCATATAGACTAAACAGGGACTGTCAATCATCAATGTGCGTTCAGTAGATCTGGGATGGAGCCCTAGAATTTTCATTTCTAAATCCTCTGGTAATTCTGATGTTGTTGGTCTGGAGACCAGACTTTGAGAACCCCTGGACTAATATATGAAAGACAAGTAAAGGTAATAATATGAAGGGGCAGGAAGCCCAGTGTGTTTTGGAAAAGAGCCCCCTCGTGCTCCCCAAAGATAATAGAGCAGTAAGAGAAAGTGGATTTGGAATCTCTCTCTGTCTCTGTCTCTCTCTCTCTGGTACTGGGGTTTGAACTTGGAGCCTTGTGCTTACTAGGTAGGCAGGTGCTCTACCATTTGAGCACTCCCCCAGCCCTTGGTTTTAGAATCTTAAACAGACACAAACCCTTGAATATACTGTGTAACTGATTATCATGATCCTTAAAATCAAGAAAACAAAAGACAATTGGAAGTAATTTAATTTAAAAGTTTATTTTACCTTTTTAATTATAAGAGTAATACATGGAAAGTGTCATAAATATAGAAAAACTGTTCTAGAGGAAAGAAAAATTTTTCTACAAACACATTTTATCAATTGAAAAAGATACCTTCTGCTACTTTTTGGGTGATTTTCATTCAGTATCTCTTTTATGTATAGGACTTTTGTTTTATCACAAGATGAGGTTTTTATTATCAAAGCAATATATGCTCATTACAATGAAAGAAGAAAGATTGTGAATACCAGTTTTTCCAGACACAGCACTGTTAACTTCCTGAAGTATATTAGAGATTCCTTTATATGAATATATTCATTGATATGTATTACCCTGACTGTGTAGCTTTAGAAACTGTTTTTTTCATTCAATATCTTTTTATGTCATGAGGTATAAATTTGAAGCATCATTTTTTTTTCTGTGCCATTTATATTTCTTTTCTTTGAATTTCTGTTCTTGTCCTTGTCACACTTTGGGGAGAGTTTAATTTTTTTTCTCTTATATCAGTTCCTTATACTTAGCGATGTTAATTCCTTGTGTCACAAGTTTCAGGTGTCTATTTCAGTTTTTCATTTAACTTACTTGTGAAGTGGGCATGGTGGCTCATGCTTGTAGTCTGAGCTCCTCCAGGAGGCTGAGGTGGTAAGATCACTTGAGCGCAGAAGTTTGAGGCCAGCCTGGGTAACACAGCGAGGCCTGTCTTGGGAAAAAACCAGCCAACCAAATAAAAAGTCCCCCCCAAAATCATACTTGTAATATTTTTCTTTAATAAATGCATTTAAGGTCTACTAGCTGCCATCCACCATTGCTTTCCATTTTTAAGGATTTGTTTTTCTGCCTGTGGTATCAAAAGAGAAAATCCTCTCTCGCTCTAAGATTTTATAAATATTAACTACTCATATTTTTTTCCAGCACACTCTCATGGTTTCATTTTTTTCACTAAAACCACTTGTAACTTATTTTGGTTCATACTTTGTATAAACAAGTAGGATTTACATTTCTCAATATTTCATTTTTTTGGTCATTATACGGAAACATTAGGCAGATTTAGGTTACAAGGTGGAGCTAAGTCACTCAGATTCACACTGCTCTGAGGAGGATTGGAATCCTGAGAAGCCCTGAAGTGTTTGCCATGGAGTGAAGGTGGGGAGGAGGGAGAGGGTTTTGTTTCCAGCTCCAGCCTCTCCCGAGAGCTACAGACTTAGACAGGTAGCTGTCTAGTAGGCAGGTCTTCTTGGGCACTTAATAACAAGCTGTTGTAAGTTAACCTGGCTGGTCTACACAAGGCCTTTCTCATCTTAGTAATGGTGCATCATCAACCCAGTTGCACACGTCAGAAACTTCCCCTCTGTTACCCACCCGTATCTACTCCATTGTATAGTCTTACAAGCTTTTTGTCCAAAATATATCACGAATCTGACCACTCCTCTCATTTCCACTGTTAAAACATTAAATCTAGGCCATCACTGTCCCTCAGTAGGTGACTGCCCTAATCTCCTGCTGGTTTTCTTGATTCCTCCTGCCTGCCTGCAGTTCCTTCCACACAGCAGCGTCTACTGTGTAAATCAAATCATGTTACTCCTTGCTTTAGACCTTTCAGAGACTTTCTGTTACACTTAAAATTCAGGTCTCTATAAAAGATCTATTTGTCTGGCCTCTGTAGCCTCTCCAGTTTCCTCTCCTTCCACATTCCCCTTGTCTGCTTTGCACCAGCCAAACTGACCTTTTTCTATCCCTTGAACAGGTTCTTTTTTTGTAGATCTTTGTACTGCCTGAGCCTTCTCTAGAACATCTTAGTAACTGCTCCTAATGGGGCTTCTAAGAGAGGCTCACTAAGATTTCTGATCATCCACCTTCTTGTTTCCCTTGTTTTCTTTACATTGGGTCTTTGCATGTTTGTTTTCTTATTAGCTCTCTTTCCTTTGTAGAATGTAGGCTCCTTTAGGCAGAGAATCTAGACGTGTGTGTGTATGTGTGTGTGTGTGTGTGTGTAGGGGGAAACTGGGTTTTGCAAAACAGGCACTCTGCTGCTTGAGCCACTCCTCCATTCGTGGGGCAGAGAGGCTGTTTTGTTCACCTGTGAATTCCCCAGCACTTAGCCCTTGCCTGCCTGGCTGATGGTATCGTGGTAGGTACCAGGTGACCATTTGTGGAGCTTTAGTCAGAGCAGCCTCGCCTTTCTATCTTTTTAAAAACTTAATTTAGTGGTGTTGGAGATAGAACCAAGGGTCCTTGTTCACTCTGCCACTGAGCTACAAATTCAGCTCCAGCTTTTCTGTCTTGAACCTCCATGTGAGATATGGTTTACAGAAAGTTATGTTGGTTGACCACAAAAGTTTGAAGACAATTTCCTTTGAAGACAGGATTTATTCTAAGGATAATATGAGAAAGAAAGATTTTAATTTGATGTTTCTGTCAGTGTTCCATCTGCTTCATAAATACATTGGTAATACAGTTCCTGATTTTTGAAATCTGAAGTAACAAGCATGACTATTGCATAATGATTTTAAACAGTTCCTGTTCAAGAGTATGTTTCCTTTACTTCTGAATTGCAGATCATAGTTTTATCCTATAATTACGAAGCTTGTGAGATTTTATCACCTTATATTTACTGTTTTTAAAGAGTCCTTCCTGAATCCCAAGCCAGAGCATCTGTATAGTTTTATTATATAAATATTTGCATTTCAGGCTTGCTATGTATGCATGCAAACATAAGTTCCCCCGATCTATATGTATATGCATAGTATGTAGTTCTCTTGTTCCTCATTAAAGTGTAAACTCTTGTTTACAACTTCTGTACTTTGTGTTTAATTCCTTACTACATTAACTCTCCAACTTGTGCCAGGTCGCTGTTCCCTAAATACTCATTGGTTTTGTGACATTGGTCCTAAGTCAATTTCAGTAGTTTTGGTTTTGGCCACTGTGCTTATTAGAATTTCATCTCAGCTGTATTTATCGCTTCCTACATTTTAACTAGCCAATACAAAAAGATTGCCTGGTGTGTTTGCTTATATGTTATATTATTGGAAATATGAAGTTTCACAAATGTTGCTTTTAGTGTGGACGATACATTTTATGAAAAATTTATTTTCATTATATTTACAGCTTTTTATTAAATACAGCAATTCTTCGGGGTGTGTGTGTGTTTCTGAGGGTAGTTATCGGGAAGGGGGTTTACACTATTTCCCACATTGAGCTCAAATTCCTGGGCTCAAATGGTCCTACTGCCCTCACCTCTGGAGTAGTTGGGACAAGAGGCATATGCCACCATGTCTGGCTTTTGTGTGTTTTTGACAGATCCTTACTCATCTTTTTATTTTTAATGTCTTTTAAATTTTTAGGTACATTTCTAGTTAGCTTGGCCAACTGTCTTTTCATAATAGCCTTTTCTTATTTAATAGATACAATGTTCTTTTGTATTTGTTTTTAAAGCAAATTTTAAAGCTAATTAACTCCAGTTACTTTATTTCAAAGGGAAGTGGTAGGTTTCATTTCTCTGGCCATTTCTTGTTCTCTTGATTCCTGAGGAATATTTCCATTAGTGTTGCATTTTCAGGGTTTTCTTTAGAGAAAGAAATCTTATTCGTGTCTAAGGGTTGGCTGAGAGTGTAGTTCAGCACAGGGACCCACCAGATTTTTGGAGAGCAAACAAAGCAATCAGCAGGTTTGTGACTGCAGGGTTTTCGGGACCAAAGTGTCATCATCTTCTTACATTGAATTATAGGCGGGGTGTATGCATTTTTTGGTTTTTGCTAAACTATGCTGTGGTAACCAGCCCCAAATCTTCATAGTTTGTAAGGAAAGTTTACTTGTTGTGTTAGTGCGTTTTGTGGATGCCATTCTAGGCCCAGAATGAAAATGAAAAGAACCAAGACAGGACTCCAGATGGCTCTCAATGCTTCTGTGCCTTCCTACTGATATTTCCTTGCCCCAAAGCAAGTCACATGGTCACACATGGCTTCAGTGGTCAAGAATATAACTCCCCTGGAGAAAGGGACAGGTAGGGAAAGATCTGATCAAGAAGGACAGCAAATATTTTTTATAATAACACAGTCAGTTGCGGTGTATATTTGGAGGTGATGACATTTTTAAAGACTTCCTAGGTTTTCTGAGGTGGTTCAAGGTGAGAGACTGGGGCCGGAAGGTTTGCGGCTGTAGCCCGTTGTGTCCAGCACCATGACAAGGACAGCTTACTAGTTATATTCTTACTACCATTTTTGAAATGTCTTCAACAGTGGATCTAACGCATGGTAGCAGCTTAATAAATGCTCGTTGAATTAGTGGGCAAAGATTTCTAACACTAGCAAGAAATAAATTGATTCTTTTCCTATTTGGTGCCTTTTGTGGTTTAGCTTAGAACAGTTTAATAAAGTAGTTCCTAATAGCACCTTTTATATATAAAATGAAAAGTACTTTTCTGGGGATCATTTTGTTTTACCAGAAAATAGTGCTTGCCAGGCACCAGTGGCTCACGCCTATAATTCTAGCTACTCAGGAGGCAGAGATTAGAAGGATTGAAGTTTGAAGCCAGTCAGAGCAAATTCTGGGAGACCCTATCTCAAAACAATGCATCACAAAAAAGAGCTGGCAGTGGCTTAAGGAGAAGGCCCTGAGATCAAGCCCCAGCACTGCATAATAATAATAATAGTGCTTAAATATATATATATATTCGCTAATAGAAAATTTGGAAAGTACACATCAAATGCAAGTGTGGTAAAGATTGTGTTCTACTTTACTACACATCTTCTTATATTAGCTTTTCTTTCTCTTCATATAGATTTTGAACATTGTCCGTGTTTATGGTTATTATAATCTCTTAGTTTTGCACTTCGGTAGTATTTCTTGCTTAATTTATAATGCCGTAAATCAGTAATTGAAAGGGTCATAGATGAAATGATTATGAGATTGATTTTATGTTTCCCTTGTTTTCTTTCTTCTCCACTCTTCTCCATATGAACCATTCATTTAACCAAAAATCACACCCTGTTCCTGTTCCGTCTCTCACTATGACAAGAGTGGAAACATTTAAGATGGTGTAAGGTAAAAGCTGGCATGGAGAATAAAGTAGCCATGTGATTCTCAGATTGGTCATTAAGTTCCTGGTGAATCTGCTTTGGACTCCTGCCTTTTTCTTCTTTTACTCTGAGATGATTTTTTCATATCCCTAAATTTGTCCAGTCTTTTAAATGGTGTAAAATTCAGTAACTGGGTAAGAATTGATTTTAGTCCTGTCTTCTTCTGTGACTAAGGCACTAGATAATCTTAATCTTCCTGAGAGTGAGGAATTCAAACTCCTCGCCCTTTTTTTCCTTGAACCTGTCTTGTTTATTGAGGGCGGAAGCAGTTTTTAGCTAGTAAGTGATCTTTTGTGTAAGAAAGCCATTGTACAAGTTTGCCATGCCTTGTTCTCTTACATCATTAATCATTTTTACTCCAAGCCTTGGAAAAGTGGCTGAGCCTGAGTCATCTGGCTCTTCACAGAGCTGGAAATCTACCCTGCTGGGTGAATGTGTGAAATATTTGTTGTTCTCAACCTAGATCTGAAAACTGGTTGTCTCCTGTGAGACTCAGATTGACTTCCTGATAAATGTTACTAAAAGTTACCTTTTGTGCCTGTTTTACAAAGAGATCTGATCAGGGTGTAGATGACATGATTAATGAAACTGTTTATTAAACTTTTGAATATTGCCTATACTTGTTACAACTTCCAAATATTTTGAAATAACCAGGGTAAACTCAGGGAGCTCCGTGACTGCTTTTCATTTGCCATCTGATGAATTCCTTTTTATATTTTTTAGTTTCTGTCCATTTGAGGAACATCCCCTTTGCTAAGTAGGTTAGGAATGTGTGCCGGGTGACAGTTTAAGTAGTATGTATGTTTGCTGTTGAAGCAGATGCTCCTATGTAAAGCTGTCAGATCAAAGAAGGGGAAGGGAAAAAAGGAGAATTACCCCCACCCAACACCTGTTAGAGACCCATGCTAACTCTGCAAACTTGCTTCCTCTCCCAGATTTCACTTTAATTTTCTCCATTGTTTGAAAACATTTCAACTAAATCTTTATTAGTAGAGTGCTGATAACCTCTTTAAAAAATGTGATTCAGTAATAACTTTGTTTCCATCTGACTTCTTATCTAATCTAACATGTATCTCCTATAAGAGAAGTGCCCATGATTAAGGTCAACTCACAGGTCAGACATTACTCTTGATTGCCAAGTGTCTCAGATCATTTCTGTCACTCAGTGGCAGACAGATTCTGTTGAAAACACAGGGATTTGGTCTCTTGTGTTTTCAATCTTAGCAAGATATGGAAGAGTGAAACTTTGATGAGAATATTTATTAGGATTAAGATAATATGTTTAAAAATTAACTTAGTTGTATCTAAGATTGGCTCTTAGAAACAGATGTAGGGGATAGTTAAATATTTACTAAATTTTATTTAAATCCTGGATTTGAGTAGAAACAGTTTCCCCAGGATATCTTATCCCTTTATTATCTTGGAGTATTAGATGTCAGGATGAAGGGGAAAAAGTCAGTCATTCTTTTAAATCAGGCTCAGTTGCAGTGACAGAGATAACGCAGACACAGGTAACTTCCCAGTTAGCCTTTTCCTCTTGTGTTAACTGCAGAAAAACTGCAGTCATCTGAGTTGTTTTAAACTTTAAAAAGGTTAAGAAATTAGATTGGTCTATTGTATTCCTTTTGAATTCTTGATTAAGTAATTTTTACTTAGAGAACTAGGTAAGTTGAGAGGCGTTTACTTTCTAAAATAAACTTTCTTCTCTCCCTATTTAGTCATTTCTTATGAAAAATTCCAACATCTCAAACTCCTAACATCTACAAAAGAAGGGGAGTGATAAACCACACACCCTGTCTTTGTTACCCAGCTCCAGCAGCTGTTCTCTTTCTCACTCTTACTGCACCCCCTAATTTAGAGGTAAATCCAGCCATTTTTGATAATGACAATAGAAGCCATTTTCCTTTTTGTCATCAGCATAGATTAGATAAAATTTTAAGGAGACAATGTCTGAATTGAAGAACTTGCCTTTGAAGAGGGGGCTCCTATTTTTATGGGATACTCAGGGTTCAGGGAATGGGGAACTGTTTTCAACTTTTGTCTTTTAAAGGGG